TAGGGTTTAGGGTTTGGGGTTTAGGGTAGGTGAGGGTGCTGGTGTGGCCCCAATCAATGCGACGGTTGATGGTACAAATCCTGCAGTGCCCATAAGAAGGAATACACCAGAATTCCCATAGTTTTAGGGTCTTAAGGTAGTGCAGGATTTCTGCCATCAACAGTAGGCATTGGGCTTCAGGGGTTTAGTTTTCAGCGCTGGAGTTTCAGGGTCAAAAGGTTGTCAACCTGAGGCCTGCCCACGAAGCTTGAGCCCTGTCCATCGTCAGCTCAGGGACTCTAAACTGAGCCCTTGTCCGGTTCAAGGTTCTTCTCGTCGACTGTGGGGCTTAGAGCCTAGGGCCTAGGGTTTTGAGTGGCTCTTGGGAGCTCCGAACGAAAGGCCGGCTCGAAGCAAGTGTTCGAGTTCCAGTAAGGAGCTATAGGGTAGACCCTGCTGGATTGGAAGCACAGATTGGAGACGACGCTGACGTTCCAAGACTCCCAAAAGCAATTCTCAGGGCACGTTAGGACAGCGAAGCACACACACACACATGGATAGCACATGCAGTGACATATACATTCGTACATACATACATGTACTTTTAGATATGACTTTGCTATGGTTACCGCACACATACCCATGCAGCTACAGCTCCAACTTTGGAATATATCGATTAAACTCACAACCCACCTCTCTCCAAGCTTGTAGTTTATACCCGTGCATCTCGCAATCTGGAGCCCAGAAATCCAGCAGGCTTCCCTAAAGCCTCTAAATCTTTATTTAAATCCTAAACCCTCGCTGATCGCCAGATCCTAGTGCGACAGTCTGAGTCCTGATGGACAGAGAGACCGACTTGCGAGAGCGATAAGCCCCTGCAAAGCAAGCACAGCTCCCAGGATGGGAGCGAAGGAAGCGGTCTAGTCGAAGAGTACCCCGGCGCGGGCAATCACGTTTCTACACAAGAGTGTGATGTCTCCGAGAACATGGGTTCTTTTGGAGCCTAGACCTAGACCTTTGACAGTGCAAGGATATGCAAGGACCTCGAAATCAGGGACCTGCAACTCCAAGAGATCCCATATCACGTCCTAAACCAGAAACGTGCAACCTAAACCCGAGGCGGTATGGTTCGAGCCTCCTCGCTAATGTGCCTGAACCCTGAAGTAAAGCTCGGCAACAACTTGAGTTTCGACGCAGGCTTGCGCCCAACTGGGTTGGCCAGGGAATGTTCGTCTCCTGTTCTCGGCCTTTGACAAGGCTCGGCGTGCCAGGCTTCGGGGCTTAAGCTTTGCCGTGCTGGGCTTGGGTTCTACTTCAACGGTTCAGTCGCACGTCAAACCTTCCCGTGTACAATCACATCACATCACATCAAGCGATCCATGCTGCCCTCGTCGAAACGACAGGCAGAACCATGCAGCCACAGACGAAAAACACATGTGTTGCTGAATCAGCAGCTTTGCCAACTTCAATGTGGATTTGTTGTAGCTCATTCTTGCCATGTCGATGCTGCTCCGACATGTCTGCACTCCGTTTGTGTGCATTTATTTATGTGTGTATGTATGTCTCTGTGTGTGTATGTATGTATGTATTTATGTATGTATGTATGTATGGGAAGGATGAGGGACCACGAGGGACTATGCTCGTTGGGTTGTTGATGAGCCTGAACTGTTGCTATAGTCCGCCCTAAACCTCGCCTGAGCTTCGAGTGCTCAACATGGGAGAGAGAAAGACAGAGCCGACATGTACAGAGTTATGCATACTCATCATGGGTAGATCGAGAGAGCGAGAGTTTGTTGATGCCCATGTCCATAAGGGAAGCTTTGAAATGCGAGCACTATCTACTTGCCTTCGCCTCCACACCGCCCTCGCAAGGACAACAGCGGCTACGTGTCCATCGAGGAGTCGTGTTTCCTTTTCCGATGTTGAAGCCTTGCCGCTCTCGTGCGCGCCATTTGTGCCGACGGTCTGAAATGCACCGCACCAGTTGGACAACATCGTCGACAGCAAGCCACTAAGCCTTCTCAATGCAAGTCTAGGCACCGACATCTAAACCCAGTATAAGCTACACATACCCATCATCAAATTCCCACACAAGCTCCAAGCCCTACAGGCCGTCAGCCACTCGCAGGAGCTTGATGCTCGAGCTGCCGAACTCCTCGCCCACTTTCATGACTTCGTCATGAGTGGCCTGTCTTCTTTTTTCTACATGGTCACCTGTTCCGGGGACTTTACGGTTTAAAGATGTTGAGAAATTTGGGCTGGAGGAGTTTGGCGTAAGATTCTTTCAGTCTCAGAATGATAGTCCTACACTCGCGTAAGTTGATGCATACATGGAGCTTGTCCACGAAGAATTTTCAATACTTTCTTGCACGTTGTGAGTCTGATTTCTTTACGCGAGACTTGGTGGAGCTATGCTATCATTCTGCTGTGTCTGTTTGAACTTGCTTGCGGTCATGGCATATCTATATAGCTCCGCATCGAGGAGGTGCCTGCCTGCTCCATGAGATTGGTCAACAAAACCCTAATTAAACCCTAAATCCAAAATTTAAATCCTAAACCCTAAACCCTCACATATGAACTTTCCAGGTTAGCTTTTACATTGCAGAGATGTGCCTCCAAGAGCAGCCGAGGCAAATTTGGCAGTGCCACTGCAGCTTTCCATGCTTTCGACAAATACAACCAGCCGCTTTGCTTCGAGCAGAACTTGGGCTTCTTCTGACGGTTTAGGGTTTAGGGGTTTAGGGTTTAGGGTCTGAACTAAGACCCTTTCTGACCCTTCTGTGTTCTGTGCTATGTCTTGCTCTTGTTTTGGAGCAGCCTCCAGACTCCAGCATGCAAAACCAAGATTGTTAAAGGCTTGGGGTCAACCAGGTCGAAAGGGTCTTACATATGACATATAACTGGAGTTAGACGGAACCGAACCGACCTCCACAACCCTGACTCCTTTGGGTACAGTCGTCATCCTTGGACTGTATGAAAGACAGAGACTTGCACCCTAACCAAACGCGGAGCGAAAAAGAACCAACAGCCACCCTGCACCGACTATCACCTCCTGCGGCACTCAGCTGGGAACTTGCATTTGCCATTCCTTGTTCGTGGTTCTGTTGGTTACTATACCAAAGAAGTGAAATCTCAGAGCAAGTGCCACTGTTTCGGTTCGCGGGCTTCTGGTTTTAGCAGGCATGTCTCACTATGGTGTGATTCTGGGGATCCACTGCCCGATTCAAAAGATTGGCTAAGTCACAAGTATCCCACAGTCCAACCATCTCCAACCTCAACTTTGTCCTCCTTACTGGGGGACGGTTCGGCCTAGGCATCATTTGTGAGAAGTTTCGATGCCACCGCCATAGTCCTGGGCTAGATGCAGATTGATGCTCCCAGCGGCTTCCAGTGTCAAATAAAGTTCGAGAATCCAACAGGCATTTCGGCTCCGATGTTCGTAGGCGCTGGAAATGTTTGGCACGTGCTCCCTCGATCTTTGAGACAAGAAGCTCCAGAGAAATGTGGAGCCGCCTGTTCCGGTCGCACTTCTCTCAGCCGACCGTTTGCAGACGTGCCTGGGCACATCAACTGCGAAGGTCATGGCACAGTTTGGCAACGTTTTCCGTTCAGGCTGCTACAGCACTTCCCGGCGATTCGTTGCAAGGTTTGCAGGAAAAGAACTCGAATTTGAGGGCGATCCTTCAGACGTTGCAGTGGCCACGGCTGCTTCGCTTCCATGGATACGGTGAAACCCACGAGCTGCCTCTTCGATCAGATAATGGCAAAGCTCCAGGTGCCTTGCCGGCCATTGATGGACGAGTGCTGCAGTACTTGGCTGGGTTTTTCGACGGAGACGGGTGTGTGTTTGACAGTGGGATACATGTAGTTCAGTGCTTCGACAGGGCCGAGGTCTTGATGCTGTTCCGCGCTGCATTCGGTGGCAGCATCACGAAGAACCGCGATGGTAAAGGTCTCCACAGGCCGATATTGCAATGGAGGGTCTTTGGGCCGGCAGCGCGTCAGGCTGCAAGCTTGCTGGCTCCACGAAGCATAACAAAACGCAGGCAGCTGTTGCTGTTCGCAGGCTTGCCTCCACAGGCTTCAAGCAGAAGCAGGCAAGAGCGCACAAGCGAGCTGAGGTTTTTGAAGCGGTTCGATTCGGCTGTTTCCAGCGAGTGCTCGATTGAATACTTCACCGGCTTCTTCGATGCAGACGGATACATCAGGGTGAGTGGCAAAGCTCGCTTGGAGCTCAAGGTTACTCAGAAGTTCGGAACGGTTCTGAGATGTTTGCAGCATATGTTGGCCCGCGACTTTGGAATTCAGGCCAGCATGTACCACTATGCGTCCAATTCTATGTTGTTCATCCGTGGGGCATCTGCCTGCAAGTGTGTTTTGTGTGCGATGCTGGAAGCTGGGATGCTTGCCAAGGCCAGGCAGGCCGAGCTTGCCGTGAGCTTGACCCTACAAAATGCAGCACAAGTTTGCAAGGAGATGGCTGGCTGTGTTGGCAATCATTCATGTGGCAAAAGACAAAGCCAGGATGGCCGCTTGAGGGCCCTGAAAATAGTTAAGATGCAGGCGAAAGCAAGAGCTGGAATTGGGGACAGCTCGCAGCTGCAGGAGCTTCAGAGGTTCAAAGGCGAGCACGCGCTGCTGAATGCTCAGCACACGAACCGGGAGCTACGAGAGTACATACACATGATCCAAAGCCTGCGTGGTGAATGTTGGGATGTCGCGTGATCGAAGCCTTGGCAGAGGCTTGCTGTAGTCACTGGTCTTCATTACCAGGCTGATTTGGAATGCACGGCATGAGCACGACTTCTGCGTTGCGCGCAAAAATGAAGTCCTCACAGCACTCCTGCTTCAGCTTCGCATTCGCGTTCATCCCACTGCCTTCCAACCAATGATTTACTAGAGCGCGGGCTTGTAAGTTCTGTGTTCAGGATTTCGTACTGTTTGTTGCATTGCCGGGGCAGCTCCTTTTGCCACTGGTTTCGGCCTGGTTGTTTCGACTCAACAGCCCAAGATGTACCAAGGAAGAAGCTGAAGCAGCACGAGTTCATCAGCCAGGTCGACTGACAGCGGACTTGAATCGAAGGGTGCGTGCACATGGGTTGCGGATCCTTTCATGCATGGTGGGGTGCTGTGTTGGAGCCTAGCTTTAGCTTTCGGCTGTCTGCAGAGTGGAGTTTGCTCGGTTGCGGGCTGAACGGGCTTAGGAATTCAGTCACAAGCTTACATTCTGAGCCCTCAGCCATCAGAAGAAAACGACAGGCGTCGACTCATCAGCTTGAATCCTGAACCCTTTTCCCAAGCCCTACAAGACCTGAAGGTGAAGAATCATGGCTTCCAGCATCCTGCGAAGCTCCTCTTCCACGGGCTGGACCACAAGGAGATGAAGGCAGCGTCCGGCAATTTCAGCCGGGCTTGAGTTTGCCACTGAGGCTGTTGACATGAGGATGTGAAGGTTGTGAGTTTATGAGCTTGAGGGCTTTGATTCACCTGAGGCAGCTTATGCTTGTAGCTTTGGGGCCCAGAGTCTAGCGTCTTGAGCTTATGGGAGATTATGTAAGGGTGTGGCAAGGGATGGGAAGCCACCAGCACGTTCGCGAGCTGGATGTGTAGTTCAGGATTCAGGACATTAACATACATTGACCACTTGGTCAGTGGATATGTAAACTTGGTCTGCCGAATGAGCCGTGATGTGTAGAGTATAGAGATCGCTTCCTCTCCTTCACCTCGTGCCTTCAATTCGTCAGATACACAGGATGCGGGCGGTGCAGCTTTTAGGGTTTCTTGGGTTAGGATTTGGGTGTTGGTCTTGCACATGACGGGAATGAAGGCGGAGGTTTGCCCTTAGCTTCAGCCGGCTAAACAAATGTGGCAGAGGCTGTGATGCTGGAAGACATGCTTTTTCTGGACCGCTGGAAACCGCCGGCATTCCTGACACGCCACCTGGGCTGCAAGGCATGCGAATTCGCAATGCGCTGCTTCAAAGGGAAGGCTAACAACAGGATCAACAGGGCACTAGCCCTCGCAATTGTGCAGTGCTCGGGTTTAGAGCCGATCGATTGGTTCTATTCAATCAGGACGACCCATGACGTGCTATGGCCACTGTGATTTTGCTGAAGGAAGGCCATAGTTTTGCTACTTAAGTTAGTCTCCGACTTGTGTTCCCTGCTTCCCTCCGCGGCTCCATTGCGAGCTTTCCAGCCTCAGGAACTGCTAACCCACAGGCCATGGAGGAGTTCAAAGCGCTGCGCCTCGTCTATCCTACAATGGCATGTCGTTGGGATTCTGGGAGGTAGCTTTAGATGGAGGACTTCTCTGCGCAGCAAGATGGCAGCTTTGGACCAGAACCTGAAACCCTTTCGTCCCCCTGAATTTAGCCATTATAACGCCTCACACAAACCCTAAGCCCTAAGCCCTTAACAATGAAACGAGGTTTGGGGTTCCTTGCGCTGGCATTGTCGAACTTGCAGCCTCGTAAGCTCAAGGCTGGCTCTAAACCCCCGAAACCGCTAAACCCCTAAACCAGGCTGGTCCGGAACTACAAGAACTTCCTCAAGGCTTGGCGACACTGCCTCGACCAGGAGCTGTAAGATAGCAGAACATAACAGGGATCTATAGTAAATCACGGGGTTTCAAACATCAGATACCATAGATACCATAACAGGGATCCATCGTAAATGAGAGGGTTTCCTCATTATGGTACTTTGAACCAAATTCCTCAGCAAGAACCCAGTCAGAGCTATGCACGGGAATGTGCGCTGAAGGCCTCAGAGATTGAGTTGGCCACTCGATTTACCATGTTGGCTTGAAGACCTGCGCATGTAGACCTCGAAAATCGCCTTGAGGGGTTTCGTTCCATTGTCCCAAACTTTAGCCCAACAGTCCGGTATTGCAGATACATTTCCCGGGTTTGAGTTTGATGTCAGAGCATCGCACCCGAATTACCTCGACAGCAAGGCTTCCATGAGCTTGTCTTTCGATTGCTGAACCGTGCCTGCTTGTTTGTTTGTGGGACAGATTGTGGACGCAGTTCCGCTCTACCTGTCGTGGGTGCCAGAAACTTTGACCACCATGTGGGTTAGGTTGGTCCGCTCTCATCTCCCTCAGCCAACTACTCGTACAATTGCTTGGGCTCTGCCGAAATTTGCTACGTGGGCTGCTGAAAGCTTAGGAGCACGGCCTGGTGACACTCTGGAGACCTTGCGGCACAAAAATGCCAAGCTGAGAGCAGTTCTGAAGACAACACAGTGGCCACGGCTGCTCCGTTTCCACGGCTCTGATGGTGAAGCATACGAGTTGCCTCTGCGGTCCCAGAAAACATGTCCCTCCCCTCCGCCTCTGCCCGCTGATGCAGATGACATTTTACAATACTTGGGCGGCTTTTTCGATGGAGACGGGTGTGTCGCAGGCTACCTTGCCCACTGTAGGCTTGTCGTTGGGCAGTCTTTCGACAAAGCCGAGATTTTGATACTTTTCCAAGCTACATTCGGTGGCAGCATTTCAAGACACCGTGCGGGTACGGGACTACGGAAACCGATGATCAAGTGGGAGATCAGTGGACAGGCTTGCCGTCGCGCAGCACGTCTGTTGGCTCCATACAGCTTAACGAAGCAGAGACAACTTTTGTTGGCGGCAGATTGGCCTGAACATGCCTTTGGCAGGCAACAATTTGTAGTGGAGCTGAGCCGATTGAAGCGACACGATTCTGCTGTGGTCGGTCCATGCTCTGTTAGATACCTTGCCGGGTTCTTCGATGCAGAAGGGAACATACTGCCCAGGCACTACATTTCCATTCGGCTCCGGATGGTTCAGAAGTTTAGGACTGTGTTGGACTGCTTGCTACGGTTTTTGATGCAAGATCTCGGAATTCACTCCACGCTGACCAAAGAACGTGAGTGCTTTTGCTTAAGTGTACATGGCACCTCCAGGGCAAAGCAGGCCTTACACAGCATGCTGAGTGCGGGGATGCTTGGCAAAGCAAAGCAAGCAAAGCTGGCGCTGACCTTGACTCCTGAGAACGCAGCGCAAGTCCATGCAGATTTAGCTGAAATGGTGGGGAACCAAAGTTTCGGGAAAAAGCTGGACGAAGCTGGTCGGGCTAGGGCACGTGGTATTGCAAGCTTGAAAGTGCGGAAGGCGGTCATGGACCCGCGGCAGATGCGAGAACTTGAGATGGTCAAGTTGGAACACGACACCTTGACTGCACAGCGCGAGAACCAGCTGCTGCTCGAGTACAAGCAAAAAATCGAAACACTGCGTGGGGAACTTTGGGAAGTCGGCAACTGAGGGTACGATGTCAGACCACTGCGACCTGCAGAGATGCTTCGTGTTCCGAGATGCGGCCACCTGTCGGCCCAAGCTTGCATTCTTCGAGCAGAGCAGCCGGCACGGCGACTAGAATGCCCTCGACGTCGTTTCCGACATTTGAGCTGTACGAAACGAGCGACAGCCCGGACTTTTGGTCGAAGATGAGTCGTGAATCTGAGCACCGCTGATCTTGTGCGTCGGTGAACTAGTCTTCCGAACATGGTCGACAGAGATGCAAACAAAGAACAAGTGTGGAATCAAACTCCACATAGATCGACTGGAATAATTAGGGTTTTGACTTCACACCTCGCCGCAAGCTGCTGCTCACAAGCATGCGGAGGACTCCAGCAACCGATGCAATTACGACGAGTTCGATGCAGCATGCCAGAAGCTGAAGTTCAAAGGCCCACGCCTCAGGGTAGAGTGAGTGCCTGTCCTTCACAGCATTCCCGAACTGCAACAACCCGGATGCCAAGCTCTGCTTCGAGATGTCTTCTTTTTCTGGCAAGAACTACTCGAACACGAGAGAGCCCATTTGCAATTGCAGTGCAGGCAATTCGAAAGTAAGGTGGTATGTATACCTTCGTAGTGATCGTGAACTTAGCTCATGGGGCTAACGGTATCATGGTCTCCCTCACAATCAACCTCCACCAGTCCATGGCAGAACTGTGCTCGAATGCCGCCTGCCCCGAGGCGATGTTGCTGGTGCCTGGAGAGCTTTGGATGAAGACCTGTCCGGATACATCACGCTCCAGGTCGGGCAGAGATGAGTGTCAGGCATGAGGGGATGCCAAGTACCATATATTGAATCCGGTAGCGTGTAGGTGTACCTAAAGCAAGCAGAGTGAGATGTGCAGTGAAAGTGTGCGGTGTGTGACCCGTATCGAAAAGTTATAAACAGCACGTGTTTCAATCATTACTAAAGACCATCGACAAGGCAAGTGCATCCGCTCAAGCCGTTATTCAGAACTATTCAATGTGCTTGAAACAAAGGTGAGGGTTTGTCCTGGGTTTCTGAGGGGTCACGATGCTCACTTGGCTTCATGGGTTCATGGCGGTGGTGAAACATGCATCGCGCTTTTGCTTAGCCGCCATCCCTCTTGTTGATCTGACATCTTCTTGAGCCGAACCCTGCTGTCTCTGTGAGGAGATCGACCCAGCTTCCTCCAGCGCCTTAGCCAACTTCCGCAGGTGCAGTGTTGACTTAAATGGGGGGGGGGGGGTGATGGTGCTTTCTGTTGAAGGGCTGGGAATGTCTGAGTCTTCAAAACGTCTGCTGTATGTAGTGTTGGTGCAGAGACTGCTGAACCTGCAGCGAAACATCAATGCTGCCCACTCTGTGTCTGCACGGCTGCTCCTGAGTAGCTTTAGTGTGAGAACGACCACAGATGTATTTCCCAAAGCGTGAGCGCGGTGCCAACCCGTGTGGCACCGCAGTAGCATCATAGAACCAGCACTGGATATGCCACAGACAGCCGGACAGGTGGTGTGACGAGGAGTTTGGCAGCGTCCGGTCAGCCTTCAGCGTCTTTGACAACAGCGGCGACAACGAGGAGCCTCGGCCGGAGTGGAATGTCGGTGGGTTGGTAGAGGTATAGCAACTGGCCTGTGTGAGGTTATGTCCTTTTTTGGAGGCTGAAAGTGCCGTAGAGTGCCGGAAATGCTGAGTGCTGCGCAGCTGTTGCAGCTGCAACTGCCATGCTTTCAGCTGCTTCTTGCCGGAGTTCTTGGATGAGTCTGTCTGAGGTCAACTATCGCGAGTGGCGGCGCTCCCTGCGCTTCTATGGCTTTGAGGGTGATGCCAGCACGCTGTGGCTTGACTCTTTTTGACCTGGAGATCCTGAAGATCTGGATGAAGGTGTTGGCATGAGGCCCTGAGAGACAACTGCGCCTGCACAGGTTTTTAGCCTCGGTCGACATGCGCCACGATCCCCAACCCCTTCATGCACATGGCTCGAGTGTAGAGTCTAAAATGCAGTCTTAATCTTGCTTATCAAACCCTGTTCAAAAAGAAGCTTACGAAATTATGAGGGCCTACATCTCAGGGCCAAAGCCCAAGCAGAGCCACTCGCAAGCACAAGTCTACAGACTCAGCCTGAGGTTTTACGCCCTGGATGTCGAGAGGAGTGGCACCCTGGCGCTGCAGGAGGTGGAATTCCTGGATGACCCTTGGTGTGGGTACTTTAGGCCAGGTGTGAATTGGAGCATTTGCAAAGTGCCAGCACTTTTGGAACTTCAATTTCCTCGAAGTACTACGAAGCTTCAAGTGCTGATTTATCTACCTCGGGCTTGGTCAGGACGGGGGGTTGGCCGCTTTACGCTTAAGGATGTATGGAAATGTGGCGAGAAGCCATCGAGATGAATCAAAGCGTGCTGGGATGAAGGGTTGTTGGTTATAGTCATAGTACTTGGGAGCGAAATGATGTGTTGCTTTCGAGATGACATCATCAAGCTCTCGGCTTCAAGCCGCCAGTTTGTGATGGCGCATTGCGTGGAGGTCATGGATTGCTCAAATAGTTGGAGCTGCATCCCCTGACAACAAAGGAGTGGATCTTCCCCGGTGCGAGCACCACGCAGGAGCCAAGCGGAGGTTTTCAATGCATGTAACAATCCGCTTCTAGGCACCGATGGCAATAATGCAACATGGGTTCGACGTGGGTTATATGGAAACCTCACTGACGTCTCGAGTTGTTTGCTACTGTTTGTCGGGAATCTGCACCAACGACCCTTACTCAAAACGTGACGTTTCCATGAGGAGGTCAGTTCATCTACGTTCTCCCAGGCTGGAAAGTGAAGTTGGGCTTGCTCAAACTTGATTCGTAGCAGCTCTGCCGACATGGGTGCACACAGCGTGTCGAAGTTTGCTGGTGTCTTCTTCGCTGTTTCGAAGCGTCGGCGTATCTGCTATGTAAACTTGGGGCTAGGAAAACGAGTTCCTGCCATTCATTTCCGGGAATTGGCTGCTGGTGTGTGGGCAGGTGCTGGGCGAGCCGCCTGTACCGCAGAACGTGACCACGCAGTACGTCACGGAAGGCCGCCTGGAGAGTAGTCCGAGCACAAAGCTCGCCGTTACTAATCGATTTATCCTAAATTCTACAACACATTACTTGTACATGGAATTCCATACCATACATCTTCGACCTTGCATGATTGATAGACCACACGACAACTAGCCAACTAGCTGCATATCCTAACTGTAGGCATCAGTTTGTCCCTGCTTGTTTTTGGACGATGTACTAGATATACGTATATCCCAAAGCCGCTGCAAGATGTTTAAACAAGAGGCCCGGGCCCTGCGGCCTACGCTGCCGGGCATGGCGTTGGCAGCGGTCCGCCCGCGCCGATGCGGCCCTTCCCGGGAGCTTTCTCCTTCCGTAGCTTGGTTGCGAGCTTAAAGGTGTGAAGCGGAAACGGCTTTTTTGGGCAGTACGCCTGAGCGATCGTGGGCGCTTGCATGTAGGCTCATAGTGTCATAGGGTCAACGCATAGCTACACCTGCTGTCGGTTGAGAGATAAAGAGTATAGTTAAGGGTTATATAAGGTGTAGAGTTGTAGGTGTAGGAGGATTCAGTAGAGCTTTCGTCACATCACAGTGCCCAACTGCTTTTGTTAAATCCATATTTGTCCACCATGTCCCCCAGGTACATTCAACGCAGGAAGCACAAAGTGTTAAGCATCGCCCCGGGCCACATGCTACGGCACGTTGCCGTACAGCTTCAGGAACGCTCAAGCTTACACCACTTCGTTTGAATCAGCCACAAAGCTAGAAGGGTGACAACTTTTGAAAGGAGACTTACACAGACAGAGAGCCTCCAAACCCTACCCTTCTCACTCCTCCCCCATTGTCTAAGGCACACAGTCCGGGGTGTGTAGGGGCCGAAGTTGTCCATGCTTTTCCTATCCAAACCTCAGCACTTGCCTTTAGAATTCCTGGGCCATAAGGAAACCTTAAAGCCTTTTTTAGCAGCCTTTCAAAACCTCGAACCAAAAAGCCACGAAGCCCGGCTGTCCGGATTCTTCAACTGCTCAAGTATGGGATGTTGATGTCTATATTATTCTATACTGCATTATTATACTACTGTTAATCAATTCGCCTGTTCCCGCACCTCTGAAAGTCGAACTACAGTGCGGGCAGAGCCGCTAAACGCCATGGTCGGCTCTCAGACACAATTCGGCCCTGTTACCCTAAGCTCCGAAATCCTAAAAGGAAAGCACGAAGCACTGCCAGGAACGAGAAGTTCCTCGATCCCCAAGAGAAAAGCAACGGCCTAGACCCCGAACCTCCCCAAACTCTTTAAGCCCCCTACAGTAGTAAACCTGAAGCCATCCGGCCGACGCGAATTTCAAAGCAAAGCGCCCTCAGCTTTAAGCCTTGAAAGGGAAGCGGACTGGGGGCACCATGCTGCTGCCGCCGACGCCTCGCGATGCCGGGGAGGAGCCTTCACCTTTGGACTACGATTCCCGCGCCTTGGTTGAGGGTCGGGACTGGTTGATTTGGGACTAGGTTTCTGATTTGAGGGCTTTTGGGTTATGGAGTTTTCTGGTATATTGGGGCATGTAGTCTCATGGTTTGGGGTTGGGGTGTAGAAGTTTGGTTGCAGATGGTTTCAGGAAATATCCCGCCTTGAACCCTATACTATAAGACATAAGCCCTTAAAGCCCGGAGCTTGCAGTGAAGCTCAGCCCAGGCCCCGGGTGGTCTACCATGGCCCCGAGCAAGCCCTCCTGGCCTTTCAGCACCCCGGCTGCCTTGCCGGACTGTGTCGTATGTAGATGTGCGACATTGAAACAAATCGCGGCTAGAGCGTGGAATGTAGGGTCGTCAGAAAGATGTTTATGCATCTTTTCTATGCATATACATGTAACTAGACATGTAGCTCGTCATCCGGATGTACTGCCTGCATGAACCCTAAACCCTAAACCCTACAATCCCTAAGGTGTCTTGAGGCTTGAGGCATCTTGGGTTTCCAGGCGATTTTGTGCTCTCACAGCCGACCTCCTGGCACAAGAACATGCTGTTGATGATATAAATCCTGCATTACCTTAAGGACCCTAAACTATGGGAATTATGGTATATTCCTAATTATGGGTAATGCAGGATTTACACCATCAACCGTGCATGTCGGGTGCAAGGCAGAGAAAGGTTTAGAAATGAAGATCAGCTCTGAAGGAGCTTGCACCCTTCGCACGGAAGCACCGGCCGACCTACCGAACCCAAGCCAGCCACAGAGGGACCCCCACTGCCCAGCAGTTCCAACTTTGCAAACCGGCCCAAGCCCTCAACCGGCAAAACTTACTCCCTGCTAGCTCCACTCCCAAAGCCCATGAACAACCTCCACTCGAAACGAGGGGTTCCCCATAGACAATGTATCAACGCCTTCCAAACCCCGAAACCTCTACCCACCCTAAACCGCTACAGTAGAAGCCCAAAAGTTGGAAACCCAATAGCCTCAATCCCTAAAAGCAATGCATAGGGACTCCCAGCACTCATTGCCCTTAATCCGGTTTCCAACTTTTTGGGATTTACTATAAATAAATAAGTCTAAAGGCTCTAAGCCTCGAGGCAAGGAGGCTCGAAAGTCCAACGAGCCAGTGGACAACGAGGAGGAGGAGCAGTCCCCGGGCCCCGGGGCGCAGCTCGGACTTGTTTTTTTTTTTTTTTTGCCGGGATTCTAGAAACCCTAAACGGCATGATGGTTCTTATGTCTCATATAGGCCTCTAGGGCTCTCTAGGCCTCCATAGTAGGGCAGGGTTCGGCAGATTTAGAGTGCTTCCCAACACTTGCTGCAAAATCTAATGTTTAAAGTGTGGTTCGGCTGCTGAGAATTTGAGAACGTAGAATCCGTGGCTGCGCCACAGTACCGGAGCCAGGTACACTCCCCTGATGGCCCCGGCCGTAGCCGTCGCTTGCACCCCTCGGCGTGCGCTGAAGGTGCATCCGCCGCTTGAAGGCACATGTGGAGTCGCACGATTCGCCTTAGTTAGACCCGAAGTCTCAACTCTACTCCTCCTTTAGATACCTCAATAGGGAACTTTCGCTCAACAAGTTTCTGCTATCTGGGAGCAGGGATTTATAGGATGTCTTCAGCTCTGTGCCGAGGTTCTTCAGAGAAGGCCTAGGAAAGCGGACGCAGTTCACGCCGCGGCAGGACCGACGTTTCGAAAGCTCAGGGATCCAAGACAAAAAGCCACAATGACCCAATCCATTGCAGCCTGATCCCTCACAGTACAGGTCACGAGTTGGTGTTTTACGTGGTCCGTTGCTTTTCAGAAGCCAGGCCCCAAACGAAGTCCCACGGTCCACTTTAGCCTTAGCTCCTTATAGCAGCTCTTCTGCTTAAGTGCCGCACTTTATTCGGGTGACTCTGGTGATCTCGGCCCGTTCATAGTCATATCTGAGGGCTCTCCAGTGCCAGGACATCCTCGCACTTCCAAGAGTCTGAAGTGTCCTTCCGCGGTTAGAGTCCAGCGGCGAGCGAATGAGATTCCTCTTCTTTTCACTGATAGTGATAGAGTTGTGCAAGTATAAGTCTCTGGGATAGTGAACATAAACCACTACGAAGCCTTTGACAAGCGTATCTGTGCTCGAAATTTCTGTTCTGGACAAAAACCCTATAACCCTACAGACCCTAACTTATCAGTCTATTCGCAGTCGAACTGTAAGCCCTGTGAAGTTGGAACTCTGGCTTCCTCGCGGCTGACACCAGAGAGCCCAATACCACTTGATTCGTTGATTCGAATAGAATACTTAGATTTGGGTTTTAGTATGGTTTCAGTGGGTTTCCTGAGATTATCCAGTGACCTTTGTTACGAGTCTCCGAATAGCCGTTGAATTCTATTTGGCATTGGGCTCTCAGGACACCATGATTAGCAAAAGGTGCCTTCGCTGGCCCTGCAAGACGCAGGGCCGGAGTAGCGACGCGAAGTCGGAACCACAAGGGCCCTTCAACTTTACATGCTATCGAACTGGATTTGGTGAGCGAAGATAGGCTCCGCGGGCGGTGTAGCTAGTACGGGTTCCGAGTTTGCACTCGAAGTTGCAGCTCTTGCGTTGATGCTCATGCCCACAGAAAACAGGATTTGCTGGAGGGCTAGGTTTCGGAGTTTCGCTGATCCAGAAGGCCCAGTCAGGGCCCCTTAAATCAAGGAATGCGGCTTACATCATAAGTTAAAGCAAAGCCCCCGGGATGACCTTTCCGTCGAGCGAACTTCGGATCCGTCTATCCGCCAAGATCTGCATCTTACACCGGGACACAGAGGCAAGACAATCCGATGCTGCTTTCTATACTCGAGTTACTTGCATAGCAACGATGGCGTGGCAAGCGTACGGATCTCTCACACAGACTCCATGTTTGTTGTTGCTTGTTTTGCCGGAGTGTCGTCAAACCATAAAACCTTGCGAAAATCAACCGTCACGAGGCCATGACACGCCTACCAGGGCAGCCTCTCGATACGTGGCTGAGGCCCTTAGCAGGGCTCAGGTTCTTTGGGGAGTTCGAGTTTGGGGGCGCATGCTGTGTATTTTACAGGCTAAAGGCCGGAGCTTGGCGGCTTTTCTGGGGCGCAGGATTGTGGGGTTTAAGGAAACCTTGCCTGAAGCTTGGAGCCGCGAAGTGGCCAGTGTTGAGTACTGTCTTGTGGGTCAAGCTGGGCGCTAAGGGCAGCAGTCGAGTCCCTTGTGAAGAAAAAGGAAACCTTGCTTTCCGCGACGCATATCGGGAGACTCCCAAGTCCCAGCTGGTCTAAACCGGACGAAGCTCATCCTCCAGGCTAAAGCAGGATGAGGCGCAGCTGCAAAACTTCAGCTGGGACCTCGAATTGCTGCATGGCCCCTGTCTTCAGTGCGGTGTCGGCTTACCCGGATCTCAGTCCAGTCATTCTCACTTCGCCGCCCAAGGTTCCGCGAGCTTGCGGATTCAAGGTGTGGGAGAGGCCGACCGCGTTGGCTTCGTCGTTGGTTGGGTATTGTGTTTGTTTAGCGTGTTTTACGGTGGTCGAAATTGGGTTTGCGGGGTTGGAGAGGGGTCTGAGTTGCTCTGGTCTCGTAGATATATGGCTTCGGCATTTGAGGGTTTCTGGGGTTTGGGGTTCTAAGTTTAAGCTTGCAGGGTTAGTTGTCTCGCCGGTGGCCTTGTGGGGTTTGATGCTGTTTTAGGTCCTGCCAGTAAGCACTCTAAGGCTGCCTGTCCGAATAAATGGCACCTTACAGTTATTCATACCTTAGATATCCTCAAGGCCCCTGCATAAATCCCATGGGTCCTACGGCCTTAAAACTTGAACCTTTCCAAAGCACCATCACACACACGTGCAGGAATCCACAAGCACGGACCTCTCTCTCCCTTTTGCTACTTAGATAGCGAATGAGAGAACTGTAAACTTGGTGGCCTTATATAATTGGTCTATCTTAGAAAATTTGAACTTTTTGGGCCCGGTTTTTGAAGAAGAGAGGATATGGAGGTCTGAACGTGGGTAGTAAAATCCTTGTAGTCCTACAAGATACCCCGAAACTCTGAATCCCTGTTCTAATGAATAAGCCCACATATGTGACCTCGTGTAAACCCTCAACCCCAAACCCTCAACCCTCGAAGGCTAGTGCAAAGAAGATGCAGTGCGTGAAACCCTCAACCCTCAACCCTTAAAAGGCACCCTACTATAGAACCCTATAGCACCTTTCAAGAGAACGTTAGTATACCCCAGAGTAACCTCATAAAGGGATATACAGGGAGCCCTGTTGTGGAACCCTATAGTACCCTTCTAAAGGGAGCCCTTCCGTAGAACCTTACAGTACCTTCGTAAACGGAACCCGATTATAGAACACTATCGTACCCTTACGGAGGGAACCTTATTCTCGAACCTTATCGTACCCTGATGAAGGGAACCCTATTATAGAACTCTATCGTACCCTGATATAAATTGTAGTGGACTCCGCTGGGAGGCTTGCCGCTTTGCCCGAGAGTTGCTGTTGCAGCTCGCGCCGGCTTTCGAGGAGCATATAGCCCGGACCTCGAGGTTCTATAAAAAAGGGCTCTAGGTTTCCAGAGACGGGTTCTATAGGTGACACGCAGCGGCCTCAGTATGGGTTTTGAAGACAAAAAGGGGGTTCTAGAGGTTTCTACACTGGCTACTTTGGGGTTTTCGGGCCTAGGGTCTTGAGCCATGGCTGTACTTGCAGGGAGGTTGTGATGTTAAGAGGCTTTGGGCTTCTAGGTCCTGGGATTTGGGGTTAAGTGTAGTGAAGACCTTGCTCATAACAAAGGTTTTGGGGACTACTGTAACCAGAGTCTTTGATAGGGTGATATGCTCAGGTTAAACCGTGCTTATGGTTCAGGGTTACAGGTCTTGGGGTGGAGGGTACATATGGTTTAGGGTTGCGCGGCGGTCAGGGTTGGTGGATTTACTGGCTGTTTTATGTTTCATAGGCATAATGCCAAGTCTGGTTGAAGGTGAAGGCACAGGGCCTGGATAGGATAAGAGCGGCGATTTTATGGTTTAGTAGAGCACTGGTAGGTTGAGGCGTGAAGTGTTGGAGGTCTGTAGCTGAGGCCAGAGGTTGCACTCTTCATCCCGCATGTACCCCTCATGCATGTCGACATGGCTCAAGACCCTGCGTCCTAAAACCCTTCCAGAGGCCTATAGACACCCATAGAACCCCTTTTACCTCCATCCCCCCTTTTATGGAGCCTCCCGTTCCGGGCGCCAGCCCATGCGGAGCGTGAACCCCGCTCTCCCAGATCTCTTTGTTCCGAGTATGTTCTGCAGACCTTGCCTGACATGTCTGAGCGTAAGCATACCCTGAACTCCCTAAACCCTAAACCCTAAAAAAAACCTAACCCTTACAGTGAGGGGACAAGGGTCGTGCAAAAAAACAACAAAACCCTTATAGACATTCCTGACGACTGTGCGGGCCCCCATGAAACCTCAAACCAAAACAGGAATATCCCGTAAACCTACACCCTCAACCCTATATCCCAAACCCCTATAAACCTGAACCCCAGACCTTTAAAGTCTTGAGGGAGAACCCAAAACCTTAAAGCCCTTTTTCAAGAAAACCCTTAATTGCTATGGAGTCTGAAGAAAGGTCCCCAGAAAAGATGCAGTTTACCATACCCCCCAAACCCCTATTCTAACTGAGGCAGGAACTTTTTTCGGATATTTAAGGTCGCCATACTATGCCCTAAACAGTTTTAAAAAAGCCTTCAACCCCTAAAAGCCAGATAAAATGCCCCGCACCTCAGCCCATACTATGCCCTAAACAGCTTGAATTTAACAAGCCCTCAACCCCTAAAAACCAGATAAATTGCCGCACCGGGAGCCGAGGCCGCCCTCGCCTATCATAGGGACGTCAACGCGCCCGCACCTCACGGAGTCGCCTTTGTTGGGGCTGAGAGTTTGAGGGCTTTGGCGCTTTATTGAGGTTCCTGGGGTTCTTGTTAAAGGGATTTGTAATTAAAATTACCATAATAGGGAGCTATAATAAGTAATATGAAGGGGCTATTTAAGTTACCATGATAGGGATCTGTTATAGTAAGTAATATGGTTTCTTCATGATGGCAGCTGAAATTAATCCCTTTACTTAACAAGAACCCAGTTTTTGGAGTTTATGGGCTTTCGCGTTCTGGGCAGAGGAAGCTTCCGGGAGACGTGGCGAGCACCTGCAAAAGGGTTTCCGGAGGGTCTCTCATAGCAGGACCCTCCAAGTACCTTCAAATAGGGGTATATGGTCCCAAATTAAGGGTATGTAGGGTCTAATAGAGGGTGGATGGAGGAGGGTCTAGGTGGGTCCTTGAAGCGGCATAGTTTTGAAAGGGGTGGAATTGTGGCCAGGAGAGGGTTTAGAGAGCGGAGATTCAGGGGTGAGAGAGTGCCTTTAATCGTCTAATACAGCTGCGCAGCAAGTGATACAGTACATAATCTACCTTGCCCCGACACCGCAGCAAGGAGCCTGCAAACTATGGCAGATTGCGGGCAACAGTTCAACAAGATGCTGCACCACTGTGTCCACACTAGAGTCATTGGAAGAACTCGACCTACAGGAATACACAGACGGTCCCGTGGCTCGTGTGACGGCTCTTCCGGGTTGAAGACATCGGAAAGGTCACATGTTGGTGTCTTCGCTTTGGGACAACATCCCAACCTAAGAATACCGTTCTCCTCGGAGGCACAACATTCTCATCGACATGTCCGAAGGCCCAAAGCCCAAGTATGGCCGCTTGGTTGCATCAAGATCGCATTAGAAGCTCATATGGCACCGTATACGGACATCGAAACCCCGAAGCATGAACCCTAAACCCCAAACTCAGAACCTCCTGAGAGTGACCGAAGAAGCTGCTCGTCAGACACAGCCCTACCCCCAGACCCTGCGACCTCCAGCCCTCAACCGTACTCCACCGACGGAAGCAATTATTGCAAAGCAGATGTATATTAACATATCTCTGCGGGTGTA